GTATTAGGGCAATTCTGTGCATGATCCATCCAAGAAATGTGCATGCCTCAGCTGACCGGAAAATCACTTTTAAAAAAAAAAATCTTTAAAGCAACTGTTTTAGTGAGTGTAGATTTAGCTGGACTATCCCCAAGGAGTCCTTCAAATGATGGTTCCTCTAGGGTAGAAGTTTTCAACAAGGGATTTTCGTTCGCCATCCCAGGGTGGGGATCACTTTCCAATTTCTGGAGACATTCTTGGCTGTGACAACTGAGAGTAGGGGGTGGGAGAGGACTCTACTGACATCTAGTGGGTGGAGACCAGGGATGCTGCTCATATCCTACTGAGCACGCACAGCCCCCAGCTGCTGGGACTGAGCATCGTTTGGTCCAAAACATCAGTGTTTCTGAGGTTGAGAAACTCTTCTCTTTAGCTGTTGAGGGTTTATACTTTGTGAAATAAGACCACTTGCTTGGGGGATTCAGACTGAAAAGAAATGCTTAATATTAAAGACTACTTTAAAACCAAATTACCTGTAACTCTGCCAGTTTCTGCCTGAATGAATGTTGATGTTTGTAAGACTGCAATTATGACGTAGATACCAGCCTGTACCCTTGTTTCCACTTACAAATGTCACTTTCACAGTCTTTATATCACTTTGATAGAGAATATTCCATTGTTCCAATGCACAAAAATCTATACACCATTCCCTTTTTATTTCTTTCCTTCGTGTTTTAAAAAGCAATTTGGGTAAAAACCATAGTTCAGTCTCAAATCTGTGTTTGGAGACCTGGCCAAGGGTTACTCTCAAATGATTTTACAACAGAAACTCATTTTCAAGGAAGAAATACTTTCTGAACATTTTAGAAATTGTTCCAATGGAAATATTTGTCTACATGGAACGGTTACTACTTTGCAGAAGCACTCACTATTTACATATTTATTTAAACCCGCACTTTCCCCCAGAATATAGTAGAACAGTACTAAACGGTGTACCTCCATGAGAGCTCACGGCACAAAAATCCTGCTCCAACGTGGTCAGATCTTGTAGCTTCTTGGCTGGGAAGCACCTGGTCTGAGTGGTCAAAGCCCACTCACCACCACCAAAATAAAAGAACAATCTTGCTGAACAAAATCAGGCTGCTGAAGATGGAGGCTGGGAAGGAAGGGAGAGAGGCAGAGGGGATGGAAAAAGGAATTAAGATGTATTATGTACATGTACCAACTCTCTACGATGAATCTAATCATCATAAACAGCAGACATGCAACAATAGAAATAATTTTTTAAAACAAGGATGCAGAAGGAAAAACCCTAATGAAAGTAACTACAACTACTTTTTAATACAACAAACCAGAAAATATTTGTATTTTAATGTATGTATTTGAAACCTGTTAGAATTCAGCTGAGTGGACTATCTAGTCCTGCCTGGAATTCTCAGTGTACCTCATTTCAGCTGAGGTCTTCCTGGACTTCAAAGTCCAAGTAGTACTGCCTGGAATCCTGGCTCTATTTCCCGAGGGATAAAAGGCATTTACCAAGATTCTTGGAAATTTCAAGTGGGCTCCTGGTTTGAGCGCTCACTTCTGTGAGCTGATCCAGTTCATGGGTCATCTGACCATTCTGTTTTGCTTTTCCTGCTCTCCACCATGCCTGCCGGGAGCACTCATCCCCTAACCCAGTCATCAGCCCCTGCTGACTCCACCCAGACACCCCAGAGTCACCATCTCTCTGTAGCATTTGTCCATCACACCTTTTGGGTAAAGATTGGTGGAAAAGTTATAATAAGCAACACAAACAACTTCACACACCTAACAAGTATAGCATTAATCCGAGGGCTTTGGATCACTGTGCCACTGCATGGCCATTCTTGTTCAGCATCGCACCTTGCTTCTCATCTCTTTCCTTTTTGAAGACCCCCAATTGTTCATACTAAGTCACGCAGAGAAGGTCAGCTCTCTGGACTCTCTCGGTCCAAAATCAATTTCAAGTCTCTCTTTTGCACCTCAGATACAAACAAACCAAGCTAGGCACTGTGGTGCTACTTGGGAGGCTGAGGCAGGAGGATCACAAGTTCGAGGTCAGCTAAGCAACTTAGCAAGATCCTGTCTCAAATAATAAAAAGGGCTGAGCATGTAGCTCACTGGGAGAGAGCCCCTGGATTCGATCCCTAGTACCACACACACGCACACACACTTGCATGCACACCTTTCATTGAACTAGACCTCCTTTTAGAAAGCATTTTTTATTGTGAATAGCAGTTTATCTCCTCTCATACATCTGAATAAGCTTTCATTCCTTTCAGAAACCATTTCTGTAGCCCGAGCCGAATACACGTCTGCATCTATCTCCTTGTGTCTAGTCAAGGATCAGCTACTTAACTGGATGAAGTGTTTGGTCCTCAACTACAGAACAAGCTAGACTCATGCAAATCCAGTGTTCAGCTTCTGTTCAGTTTCCTGCTTTTTAGCTCTAAACTCTTCAACCTGATGTTCAAAGGGTTCCTTCCTCCTGTTGCCCACTTCTGCAGACTCGTTTTCCCAAGCCCGCCTCTCTCGTACCTGCTAAATGTGGTCGAGGATGGAGACCAGAACTGACTTTACTCACGGGCTCCAGAGTGGTGGCCCTGATGCGGCTCCCTCTGTGTTTTATCTCTCTGGTTCTTGTTTAGATGCCACAGACAGTGATGATGCAGTCTCTTTCTTTAATCCTCAGTAGTTGGGGGAAGTACATTTTTCCCTAAAAGTGTCAACTGTTTGCCTGGGTTAACATCCATAAGTTCAGTCATTTAACACAATCCCATTGCCTGTGATGGGCTGAGAGGCTCATTTCTCACTGGGATGAGGGCTGGTGGGATATTTCAGTGTTGAATATGCTCTGGGGGCACCGAAACAACACATTCTGGTTTCAGAACTGAGGTTGAATGCTGTAAACAGCAACATGATGCTCCTTCCTCTTTGCCTAATGACTTGTCCTCTCATCAGCACATCACCAGCTCTACCCACCAGCCACAGCCGTTCTTCCCTCATGCAGCGATTTGAGTGTGGGTGCTGTGAAGCCTTCCTGCTTCAGAATAATTCTGTCTGTAATGAAGCACTGTATATTTTAGCCTTTAACCTTATAACCCAGAAATGTGAATTTCCTCTTCGTTCGCATTGAGATGATCAGATCTCCTCAGAGATGTGACTTAAAGTTGGAAGGGATGAAATACTTCACCATACTCCATTCTGCATATACACAGAGCAACCCTCCATTCGTCATGTGGCGAGACTGCCCCTCACACGTGAGTGGACTCCACCTGTTACCATGACGTCTTGTGACAGGAAGCTTTGGCAAAGACAGCAGGAAAGATTAGAAGTCAATGCGATGACAAGAAAGGTTTACGGAGAAGAACACAGAAAGGGATTCCCTTCTGTACAAACATCCATTATCTCCATAAGTGAATGAAAATGTACACAAAGATATCATCAGAAATAAGTGTATTCTAAACATTACTTTTCTAAGTTATTCACTTTGCTCACCCTTAGAGATTTATAGTTCAACCATACCCATTCAGAGTGGAAAGAACAAAGGCCATTTATCTAGTCCTATTCCTTGGGAAGAAATACTTAGGCAATATTAAGAATCTTCAATTATCTAATTTTATAAAAGATGATTTATATTCTATAGTCAGTAACATGTGATACTGATTATTTTTAATCCCTTAGAAGAGATCTGACATTATGCTTTTGGTGCTGTATAGCATGAAATCGTCATGTATATTTCACCAAAAGAAGGAACAAGAATAATGGCCTCTGCAGTCTGCAATCGTTTTATACTAACACACTGCAATGTGGTTTTGCCCTGGGGCAGAGAAGTAGAGATTTTTCTCTACTTCAAAAGAATGAAAAATTATCATCACTCTATCCAGAACCATTATAGACTTCAGAGACTTTGGCATGAAATATTCAGAAAGTTTATTTTAGAGTTCAATATTTTAAAAGCCTGCTTTAAAACTATTACGGTGATTAGTGGCTCTCTTGCTTGGGCCAGTTTTGCTTTAAAAGGACTTGTGTCCTGCTTGATAGCATTTGTTGAATTTTCACCCACAGTAGCCGTGTGGAAAGCATGTTGTACATTGTTTTAGGAGGCTCCCCCCCAAGATGAATTAGGTCCTCTGCTCATCAGTTATCCTTTCAAACACTCTTTAATGAACGCTGCTTTTACTAGTAATGGTTCTGATGCACTTATGCTAGCTTATGCTAGGATTTTGTGCTGACCCGTTACCTTAACCCTGTGGGTTGGGCGCCACTGTTTGCTACCTGTTCAGAGGTCCGTGTCTCAGTGATTCTAAAGACACACAAGGAACAGCCACACTGAGGCCACCCCATCACCACCATCACGACCACCAACAATAACAACAACCAGCTCGCGGCCCACGTCTTCACCACTCTTCCCAGGAGTCAGGAAAGCTTGAAAACTTCCAGGGTTGGAGTTAGTAGTGTGGGGACAGCAGCAAAAATCCCTCTCTCTGCAGTGTCCCAGCCCTGGGTCGAGAGCTTAACTACCCTGGTTTGGGTTCAGCTCTGCTGCCTAATAGCAGCCTGACTCTGAGAAAACCGTGAGGTTCCTGAAGGCTTGGTGTCTCTTTCTGTAAAATGCACCCATGCACTCTGTTTTTGTCCTTGTTTGTTCCCACAGTGGTTTCATTATCTGCTATTTATCTCACATTTCCATTGTGCAATGCATGTATGTTCTTGTAGATTACAAAAAGGACAACTAGAAAAACAGTCGCTCCTCCTTTTTTCATATAATCTGTGCATTTGACTTTAAGTAAGTGGGTTGAATGTATTATTTCTGTAGGTTTTAATAAACTTTCTTTCCTTCCCAGCTTAGTATTACCTATGTAGAAATAAAAAAAAATATAGCCATCAATCTTAGTCTTCAAGTAGATAAAATGTGCAAAGAAAGAAAGATACTAATGTTCTGACAGGTAGGTGCTGATGAGAAGAATGTGTAAATAGCTTTTTGTTTTATTTTTCAGGGAAGTAGATCGTGACTCTGATGGTCACGTCAGCTTTAGAGACTTCGAATATGCCATGAAGCATGGACAAAATGAAGCCTAACTATTGTGATCTACTTTTTGGTAACTCTTTGGATTGTAAATATATTTGAAGATCAAACATACCTCTCTCTCATAATGATGTGATACTGCATATTTGTGATGAAACTCTTAGTTGTAGTTTTGGGATGCTGATAATGTACTTGGTCTCACAGTCTTAGAGGTTGTGGGTACTGGAGTCTTCTCTGTGGGTAGCAGCCTGGAGTCAGGCTGCCCCATCTCTACTCTTGGCACCCCCTCGCATACCAACTCTAAATTGGAGTGTTCCACTCAGTCCTGGTCTTCACCACCCGACCTGAGACCCTGGTTCCTAACAGCTCTTGAAGGCTGGTAAGGGCAGCTGTTCCCTGCCAGTGGTTCCAGCTCCCTTCATTTATCCCACGTTGGTTGAACAGGTAGTATACCTATGTGTACTGCGTGCTTACTGAAGAAGGTTCGAAGCAGTGAGTGAGGAGGCATTGGGCTAATAAGAACATAAGACTTATCTGAGATAAAGTACCCAGAGTCCACATCTTCATTGCAGTGTCCCCAGGGCATTGGTTGTACAAGACAGAGACTGAGCTAACAGAAGGCAGCCCTGTTGCACATTACACAGAGGAAGAACAGAGCCAACGGAAGTCCTAGGAGCAAAAGATATGTTTGCAGAACCCTACAGAGTGGCCTGGGCCTGGCTTCTTGTGCAAGGAAGCAAACCCAGGCCTGCCCATCTGCCCTACCCCTGCACACTTCCAGTTCTGGGTTGTTCTGCCCTGCACCCAGATCCATAGCTATTGCTGGATCTGGATCCTGGTTGCCGTGTCCTACCTGTCTCCCTGGCTCCATTCACTGCCGTACTAGAGCAAAACCTGCAACACTGGACATTCAGCGTTCATTTAAAATAATTCCAAAATAATGGTATCAATATTAATTTTTATGTAGTTGTTGAGAATTCACAATAGTAGCAACAGGACTAAAACAATATTCAACTCATATTTTAAAAGTATTCAACATTGCTGCCTGCCTTGCAAGCGCAAGATCCCAAGTTCAATCCCTGGTAGCAAAAAAAGTATTCAACATTTAAAGGTCAAGCAAAAATGTTAATTTGTAGAACAAGCGTCATTCTCATGTAAATTATTAGCTGATAAGATTAATAAAAATAAAGTTTACACTGTGATAGACCAGAGGAGCTCAAAGAGAAGTGACAGGTAAATGTAATTTGGTGTTCTTGGTGGGTCCTGGACTAGAAAAAGGACTTTAGATTAAAAAAAAAACAAAACAATAACAGTCAAATATGGACTGTAACTACTGATAATGTATCTGTATTGGTTCATTAATTGTAACAAATGTACCAAATTCATAAAAAATGTTGATAATAAGGAAAACTGAAACTCTGTACTCTGTACTAGAAACTCTCTGTACTATTTTCATAATTTTTCTGAAAATCCAAAATTACTAAAAAATAAAGTTTGTTAAAAAAATGCAAAAATTAATAAACTAAACTTTACCTAAAATGAAGAGAGACTGAAAACAAGTGCAAATGAAATATTATTTCAAAAACAAAATGGATCAGTGGTATCATTGAGTAACATGTGTGTTTTTGTACAAATTGTTCCAACTGAGGAAATGTCCTTTCTGACTTGGGATAGAATTTTGTCCAGCAAGTATTTTCATCATAAATTGAATAGTTGAGTCATTGACATTAATCTCAAAAGAGAAATGATTCAGGGCTGGGGATTTAGCTCAGTGGTTCTGCTGCCTGCCTTGTAAGTGCAAAGACGTGAGTTTGATCCCCGCTACCAAAAAAAAAGATTCAAGTGTTAGATTTTCAAAATATCAAAATTTTACATACACTACCAAAGTGCCATTATTTCAGTAGTTGCCATAACCCCAAATCCTCCTATCACAGTCACTACTTGGACCTCATTTCTGCCAGGAAAAGTGACAAGGGAAAGGAAGAAATGACCTGCAGGATGTGGGAGGCAAGAGGCAAGGCTGGGAACAGCTGTTGGGCAACTCTTTTGACTCTGGATAATCAAGACACTTTCTAGTTTCAATGACTACCCAACCTGGCTTAGACTGCAAGAGAATTTACTAGAAGACACTGGGCTAGCTGCTGGAAAGCAACAGGAAGGGCAGGGGTGCACCTGAGTTTACAGGATAACCTGACCCAACAGCACTCTCACATCCAGACTCTGCCTCCCTCCTGTAGTCACCAGTGGCCTCAGACCATTTAAAAGGAATTGGCCCATTGAACCATCCAGTTCCAAGCTCAGAGGCTCCAGAGAGAGGCTCTGGTTGGGCCTCTGGCTCAGGCAACTGTGGTTCACCCAGGGGAGATGGATTTGGCCACTGCCACTCGCCCATGCACACTCAGGGATGGTTGTAAAGAATGGAAGTTGACAAGACTGGGAAGCCGTCCTCTTTTCTGGAAGAGAACACTATGCCCAGGACCCCATCCAGGAAGGAGAGCGCCCTTAGGATTTGCTCCTTAGGAGGATTCAAACCATCAGAGCAAAGACACAAAGAGGAGTAATGAGAAGCTGCTTAGGTCTCCTTCCCCTCCTATCGTTCTTGCCCTAGGCCCAGTCCCCCACCTCACCCTATAGGCTTTGCCCCAGCTTCTCGTTCCGGGCCACAGTCCCTGTGCTAGTCCCCAGTGCACGTGCTGCTTTACTGCCTGTGCGGGGTGACCTTGCAAAGCCCAAGGATAGGATTGATTGAAACTGCTCCGCCCGCCTGTGCCCCAGGAGAGCATGCAGGGTGGGAGGGAGCAAGACAGAGCAGAGCACTTCTGAGGGCTGAGTAAGGGGGTCGGACTTGGGAGCAAAGGGAGACACAGCCTAGAAAGCCCACCAAGGCAGCTGGTTTGCAATGAGAGCAGAGGAAGAAAATGGACACTGAGGGGAAAACAAGAAAGGAGCCAGAGAAGCCCTGCAGTGCTCGGTTTCTGGTCAGAGCTTGTGTGCAAAGCCCAGACATGGCCCTTTGGGTCCTATGAGGTAACTCTGTATCCATCCAATAAATCTTTCTACTCAAGCCAGCTGGAGTCACTTTCTGTTATTTGAAACTAAGAGAAGCCTCTCTGTTAGGATCACAGAGGCACAGAGCCAAGGACAGAGTCCTAGGTAACATTAACACTTACTAGGGCAGCAAAGAAAAGTCTTCTAAAGACTCTAAGAAGCAGCAGCTCTAGGTGACAGAGGAAGCCACAACCATGTCCCTCTCCTGTTTCCTGCCTTGATTAACCTTGTACTCCATTTTAGTATCCTGAGTTGCGGTCGCTCTCAGATGAGTCACCTGGGAGCCACCAGAGGCCAAATCTTCCAGTCTCTCTCAAATCTCCTCACACTGTCCCTTCTCCTGGGTCTGAACTGACATCTGTTTCTTTGGAAGCCCCTCTTAGCCTCTGTGACATGAGTCTCTTAGGGTATTTCTGTGCCCATTTTTTCCTACCATTTTTTCTAGTTTCCTGTCCTACAATCATCCCCGAAGCAGTAGTGTTTTCCAAGGTCCAGTAATTGGCCAATCTTCTTAATCAGCACATTCTTCAGGGTTGATTTCAGCCACCGCCAAGATGTCAGCTATCACCTTTATGTGTATAACACCACACAAGTCTTTATCTTTGACCTTGACCTCTGCTCAACTCCAGGCCTGTGTTTTCATTTGCCTGTCGGAACTTTCCACCTCAGTGCAAATGAATGTCAACGAAAATCAGACTTGTTGTTCCCCTAATTTTCAAAATTGGTTTCCTATTCTGTGTTTTCTATTTCTGTGAATGGCAGCCTCCCTGGTTAGCCCCCACTCCAAGCTAGCATCCAAGCCAGCTGCCTCTGAGTCGTTTCAAATCTCCCCATCTTCCTGGGCTCTGATATTCAGCCGGTCCCGGAATCCTTTGCCTGTCTCTGTAAAACATTCATGACATTTTTTTCCTTTCCATCCTGATCTCTGCCCATGTCTGTATTCCCATCCATCCCTTCCATCCAGTCATTGTTCTTCTATTTTTTATGTAAAGGTGAGTAAAAGATGTACAAGTAAGTAAGAAGCAGGATCTGCTGTGAAAACATTTTAGCCTAACATGTCAGTGATCTACCTAAAGCACAGACAAAATTACTTTTTCCTCTGCCCAGAAGCCTTGAGTGGCCACCTTTCCTATTGGGTAATGTCTAGACCTATACTATGTCATTCAGAGACCTCTATAATGTGGTATCAATTTATATTTTCACAACTACCTCTGCCATATCATGCCACAACCAGGGAAACACACGTGGGCACAACCCCTTCACCTAAAAAGACCAAAATGGCAATAGATATTTGCCCAAATTAGAAAAATAAAAAGTGATTTGGGAATTGATATATGATGAGATAATTGTAAAGTACACTCACAAAAAAAATTACTTTAAAAAATAATAGTGGGCCACCTTCATCTTCCCAAGTATTTTTTCCTTCACTGCTGTCTCCTTGGAATAGAAGGAGGGGAACTGATTATGCTAGGTATTTTATGTATGTGTTCAATTTTATCCTTGAAACTATTCAGACAGGTATTAATCATCCCTTTGCATATATATAAATGACAAAGCAATCTCAGAATCTAAAGCACTTGGCTCAGGCCTGGACAGCAACAAGGTGGTCAGTGAGACCTGTCAGTCTGATGACATACACACTCTTCCTCGTCACCTACTGTCTGACACGGTTCCATATTTTATAGTTGCACTTTATTTTTAGCCCAGACAACTTTACACAGATTCATTGGCCAACACAGTTCAAGTATAACATTGGATAGGCATTAGAAATTAATTCCCAGGACTGAGATGTAGTTCAATAGTGGAGTACTTGCCTACCATGCATGAGGCACTGGGTTCTAACTCCAGTGAAAAAAAGGAGGAGGAGAAGAAGAACAAGGGGAGGAGGAAGAGGGAAGGGGGAGGGGAAGGGGATATTCCCATCTATGGTTTGCCAAAAATAAACCAAAATTATATTAAATTATTAATTAAACTCAAGTTCAAAAGACAAAGATTAGAATGTGCTAAAGGGTCTAAAAGTACTATCAAGGAGAATGGAAATGAGTTGTAGACATGCTCGGAACATTCCAAGCACCTCTTAATAGATAGGCACCCTCACTGGCCCATACTCACTATGTGTATAAATTCTAAATAGTGTATTTCGCCAATCAATTTACTTGATGTTCACACTATACTTAAAGACTTGTAATTTAAGATCAATAAAGATAAACTGTTACTTTCCTATTTCTTAGCTTGTAACTTTTGAGAAATTTGTTTGGAACTGTAGAATTAGGCAGTTTAAAAAAAATGAAGCAAAACAAAACAACCTGTCACACACAGATTGAAATTCAGTGCCACTAGATATAGCAGCTCACAAAGTGACCTTTCTTAGAAAACAAATTTAAATTGAATTGTCCACATGGACTGAAAAGTAGCCCAAACAATTTCACAAATAAAATATGGGGTATCCAATCTAAGCTTCTCTTACACTGAGTTAATAAAACACTTAGAAATGTGACTAAAAAAGAGCATTGTTCTAACTTCAGAGAAATGCAGATTAATTTATATGAAAACAAACTGAAATTCAAATATAGTCCCTATTTTATGGTTTATTGAATCTTCAAAAAACTAAAAGGAGAAAAACAGTGAAATTGGCAAAAGTATGTGACTTCAGAAAGAGCAATTCCAATAATATTGAATTTACAGAAAAAAAAATTTGACCAAGGTGCTGGAAGTATATGATGTTTATTGTCATAGCAACAGTCACTGTAAGGTAGAAGTCAGGTTTGGGCATCTTTCTTATTTTAAATAAGGAAGGCAAGCTTGATTTTAAATGACTTTACTAAGGTCAAATGTGTCAGAGATAGTGCTTAAATCAGTTTTCCCTCCCAAGATTTCCCCATTGCTACCGGTATTGGTTTGCTCATGGGATGGTTTGATCATTTCTTTTTTCTTTCCTTCCTTCTTCCTTATTTCTTTCTCTTTTCTCTATTACATCCACAAATACAATTACATATATTGGACCACTTAAATTTCAATCTGATCTCCTTCTTGGCTTATATCCAAACACATATCCAGGAGAACACTGCTCCCTGCCCATCACTACAAATGAAAACCAAAATTCAGGACATCTGTCTTTCATCACAAATGGAAACTTGTTGGCCATTATCTTCAAATATTTCTTTTGCCACATTCTTGAAGAGAATGTCTTTATCAGACTCTGGTTGCACATATTTCACGTCAGTAGTGTTAGATATGTCTCTCATTCTCTGTTCTTTTCATTTTACTCTTCTTCCTCCTTTCTCTATTGCAGTTGGATAATTCTATTCTACTCTTATTCCTTATGCAGGGAGGATGAAAAATGGCACAGACACCTTGGAAGTCAGTTTGAGAGTTTCTTACAAAGCTAAACATCATCTTTC